TTTTCAAATAAAATAATGGTTTTTTTTAAGAATTAAAAATAATCTGATTTTGGAGTTGCAACCATGCTTGGGACGGCCCACATAAACGAGCAAAAATGCTTTACATGTCTTGAAATAATAATTTCTAAACATTAAACATTGGCTGTCAGTCTTTATTCACCTGTTTCTCGTTGTTTCTCATTAAAATTAAAAACTGCTTAGCGTGTGCTCTCGGGACTTTTATTTTGGCGAGTTGGTGTGACGTCATAAGGCAGCGCCGCGCGTCTGTGATTCGGCTGAAGAACTGTTTTAATCGTAATTCATTTAAACTGTTTAAACCGATGCAAGTGATTTAGTGCATTGCGTAGTTTTACACAGTGTTGCCAGGTCAGTGTTTCTCAATCTTTTTCTGCCATTCCCCGCTTTGGAGAATATTTCTGAGCCCCACCTGTCCTCAACAGTTACTGTTAAATGTATTAAAACTTTTATTTTGTTAACATCACATTTTAAACACATAACGACATTAAAAACTTTCAAATAAGAGAACATAAAAGTGCAATTATATTATCACTTTGCATGAAATAAGACTTGAAATTAATTTGCCTTTCTGTTAATTAATCTCATATTAATCGTGTGTGTAAACCTATTATAAAGATGTTGGTTCTTAAAGAGGAGAGTGAAGATGTGAAGATTGAAGACACTTTCAGAGTCAAACAAGAAGATACTGAGGAACAAACAGGTTGGTTTCATTCTCAAAGCTGCCATTCATTATTACAAGTCTCACGTTAAATTTGGGGAAATTACACAGAAGTAGCCTGAACAAAACAATTATTTTGTGTAACATAGGCTACCCAGTATCTACTTCTGAACTCAAAACAATGAAAACCATTTTTTCTATTACTTAAATATTATATATTTTGTATAAAGTTAAAGTCGAGTTATCTACGGAAGAGGATTAGGGCCAAGCAATAACAAACAAAAAAATGAATAAAACCATGTTGAGATTAAAGTCATTGTAATGCTAAATTAAACTAAATTAAATTCTGAGAAAAATGTCGAAATGAAATGTTGAGAATAAATTACATTTTGAGAAAAAGTCAAAATAAAATTTTTCATATTTTTAATTTTTTATATGCGAAGATGCGTTCTGTGTGAACGGCCCCTTACTTTGCAGAAACAACACAAATCCACCGTTTAGTGAATGTTTTGTCGTATTGCATTTTTTTTAAACTCACAGTCTCCATATCAATTAGAGTTTAGGAACCGGTTTAGGAAAATATGGTCAATATTCAATTAATTGGCAATATAGTTTTATTTTTATAAGGAGCACTTTCTGTGTGAAGTTTGCATGTCTTCCTCGTTTTCTCTGGGTGCTCCTGCTCACATTTCTTTTGCACATAAGTACTTCATAAAATTAATTTAGTAAGAACAACAAAAAACAAGTAAAAAACACTTGTTTTCCAAAAGCAAGAGATCAGATGATCAAACGCATTTATAGCATATTTTGTGTAACATGGTTGCTATTAACATTATTACCTTAAAGGGATAGTTCACCCAAAAATGAAAATGTGATGTTTATCTGCTTACCCCCATGCGTTCTCAACAGCCGACGCGTCTTCTTCTTCTTCTTGCTTTACGGCGGATCGCAGACTTATAAGTGCATTACCGCCACCTATCTCTCAAATGGACCATTGACACTCTATCTACAATCTCAATTAGGAGATTTGGTAAACATCACATTTTCATTTTTGGGTGAACTATCCCTTTAAGTTCTAGATCGAGATGTGTGGAATAGGGGGTTACAACTAACATGTCAGTTTAGTCAATTTCAGAAAAGTGTATTGCATGTCTCCTTAATACAACACATCCGATTCAACTCGTAAGGTCATAAGCAGAGACTCCAGGACCTGAAATGGGACAAAAAAAGGGGGAATTAAAATGTAGTGTTTTGGAAAAGCTCCAGAAATGGTTAATTAAAGCAATAAGCCCAGTGAAGCCGTGGTTTACGGTGGATTTATAACAGCTAAGGGGCGTTGTTAGGCACGACACGAAGCTTCGAACGCGGCTCAGCCAATCAGAATCAAGGACCGGAACTCTCCGTTTTATAAGGTTTAATAACTGCCAGCTTACATGTTTTTGGGACTTAAAACTGAGGAGTAAACAATATCGAGACGAGTTTCTGGGAATACAAGAAGCACCACGGTTTTGATGTCTGTTGCTTTGTGACATGAAACTGGTCCAAACTTGTATTTTTTTCCCCCTTTAGACCCGATGCCACTGAAAGAGGAGAGTCGCGAACTGGATGAAATAGAAGAGAGATGTCAGCATGAGAAACGTCATGCTTTCGTAACTGAAGAAAACTCTATTAGCTGCTCACAGACTGAACAGACCACAGTTCAGAAGACTGAGACTGGAAGTAAATTCACTTGTCAACAGTGTGGAAGGAGTTTCGCTGCAAAAGGAAACCTTAAAGTCCACATGAGAGTTCACACTGGAGAGAGACCTTACTCGTGCGCTCAGTGCGGAACGAGTTTCACACGCAAAGGAAGCCTTAATGCACACATGAGAACACACCCCGGAGAAAGCCCTTACATCTGCAAACTATGTGAGAAGAGCTTCTCACGGAAAGAAAGTCTTAAAGCCCACATGAGACGTCACGCCGGAGTCAAGCCGTTTACATGCGTTCAGTGTGGAAATAACTTCACGCGCAAAGAATCGCTTAAGTACCACATGAGGATTCACACGAGAGAGAAGCGTTTTAAGTGTCGTCAGTGTGGGACGAGTTTCAGCGACAAAAATCACCTTAAGGATCATGTGATGACTCACGCTGGAGAGACGCCGTTCATGTGCGATCACTGCGGAAAGACTTGCTCAAACAAAGCAAACCTCGAAATTCACAGGAGAATTCACACCGGAGAGAAGCCCTTCACCTGCCCTCAGTGTGGAAAGAGCTTCACAGCCAAAGGAAACCTTCAGACTCACATACGGATTCACACCGGAGAGAAGCCTTACACGTGCGCTCGGTGTGAGAAGAGCTTCACATATCAGAGAGACCTGAAACGTCATGTGCAAGCTCACTCTGGACAGAAAGTCGAGGATTCTGAGTGTTACGGGAAGGTTAGGAAAAATCACCTGCGCGCTCACTCCGGAGGAAGCCCGTTTAACTGTGCGCTGTGTAATAAAAACTTTCTTTTGCCAACACACTTGCGGATACACCTGAGAAGACATGCATACGCGAGACCTTATTTTTGTTCTTTGTGTGGAAAGAGTTTTAGATGGCTTGGTAGCTTAAAATGGCACCAGAAAGTATGCATCTGTGCAAAGTTAATTTTGATTGTGTAGAGGCGTTTGCTACAACTCTGATTCCGTGTAATACCTCAGAGTCTAAATATTAGACGAACACAGCCCCATCTTGCTGTGAAATCCCGCAATGTAGATTATTTACTGTAAATAAAAAGGACAAACTGAACGAGTTAATGAATTAATTGCACTGCATTGTAGGGCTGGGACAATAAATCGATGCATCGCGATTCGGAGATTTTCGGAATGCATCGTGATACTCTCTGGAATCGATTCTGAGCTTAGTTTTTAACAGCAGATGGCGCTCTAGGTTAGTTAAGTTAGTGGTTAAATGTACTTGCGGGAGCAATATCTTCAATAACATTCTTATTGACTTTTCCAAACTCCCTGAAAACTGCAGTTATAAACCCCTTCTGAAAAAGAGCAATCTTAAAAACATCATATTGAGTAACTACAGACCAATATCAAATCTTCCTTTCATAGGCAAGATTATTGAAAAGGTTGTTTTTAATCAGCTTAACTACTGCTTAAACTCAAATGGATACCTGGACAATTTTCAATCTGGTTTTCGACCGCATCACAGCACAGAGACAGCGCTCATTAAGATAATAAATGATATTCGCTTATAAATGTAGCATGGTATATAATTTTTTGGACATTTTATATAATGTCCAAAAATATACATACCATATATATATATATATATATATATATATTAAAGTATACATGCAACTTTAGTAGATCTGTGAGTGTGTCTGTGACACACTGGAGGATCCAGAACGCTGCTGCCAGAATTCTGACTAGAACCAGAAAATCTGAGCATATCACACCAGTCCTCAGGTCCTTACACTGGCTTCCAGTTACTTTTAGGATTGATTTTAAAGTACTTTTACTCGTTTATAACTCACTCAATGGCCTAGGACCTAAATACATAGCAGATATGTTCACTGAATATAAACCTAACAGACCACCCAGATCATTAGGATTGAGTCAGTTAGAAATACAGTTAGAAATACCAAGGGTTCACACAAAACAAGGGGAGTCCGCTTTTAGTTATTATGCCGCCCGCAGCTGGAATCAGCTTCCAGGAGAGATCAGATGTGCTAAAACATTAGCCACATTTAAATCCAGACTAAAAACTCATCTGTTTAGCTGTGCATTTGTTGAATGAGCACTGTGCTACGTCCCAACTGACTGCACTGTATTTTATGTATACAGTGTAGTCTTAAGTTAAAGACTTAACTGTTTTAATTCATTTTAAATCAATTTTAGATTATTTTAAAAGTTTTTAATTCCCTTGTTTTATTGTTGTTATTATTTTAATTCCTTTTATGTAAAGCACTTTGAATTACCATTGTGTATGAAATGTGCTATATAGATAAACTTGCCTTGCCTTGCCTTGCACATCCGCTTTTATGCTTTTTTGATGTGAGATTTATGTAACCTGAATGCTGAAAGGAAGGCTCTCCAGAGGATCATCACCACAGCCCAGAAGGTAATCGGTTGTCCCCTCCCCTCTATGGAAGATTTACACAGTTCCCGCTGCCTCTTGAAAGCTCCAAAAATTCTCAAGGATCCATCTCACCCAGGACATTCTCTTTTTGAATTGCTACCTTCGGGCAGACGGTACAGGGTTCTAAAAACCCGAACAAACAGATTAAGGAATAGTTTTTATGCTAAAGCTATTTCTTTTTTAAATACTGCAAAAAATTAAAATTAACCATCATGTGTGTTGAAGACATGAAGTGTCCATCTCTGTTGATTGTAAGATTAATAGTTTACATGCCAAGCCATATCTGTTTTAAATACTGCAATAACTTAACTGATCATTATGTGCAAGATTGAATGAGTCGTGCAGCTTTGTTGAATGTGAGATCTGGTTTTGAATACTGCAATAACTTAACTGAACATTTTGTGTACTGTTGAACTGAATGTGAGACGTCTTTTGTATGTAATGTTGTGTAATAGATCCTGTCATCTGTGTACTATTTATTAGATTATTGATTAATTCAATAATCCCTATGCACCCAAAGGATTGCATTCAATTTCGTTGTACCTGTACAATGACAATAAAGTCATTCATTCATTCATTCATTTAAACACAGCCCACTGTGAACATCCTTGTAATTCGCTTCAACCTTTTCGAACTTTATGAATGATTATTTTAGGTTCAAGTGGTGCGTGTGTAAGGAACTGGAAGCAAGCAGAATTCAGCTGTTTCTAAAGCACGCTGTGCCATCTGCTGTTAAAAACTAAGCTCAGAATCGATTCGAGAGAGAATCGCGATGCATTCCGATAATCTCAGAATCGATGCAGAATCATTTCTCGATTCGCGATGCATCGATTTATTGTCCCAGCCCTACTGCATTGTTTGATTCATCTTTAATGACAAAATTCACATGTTTTTAATCTGGACCTGACATCAGGATTTCAGTCTGGATCTTATTTTATGTTCCAGCCTTTTGCTAAAATGCTTTAACCCCCTCCCCAAGCACTTGAAAATATGTTTTCCAGGAGTTAGAACTGCGCTTAGGGCCTGTTTACACCTGGTCCCTCCATGTTTTTTCTCTGATTGGATAGCTATCCGATCGTGAAAAGACCCAATGTAAATGCTTTCCGAAACGCTTTGGAGACAGATTTAAATCTGATTGCTCACACCGCTTCAGAACGTGGTCTGGGATGCATTCCAGTTGAAACTAGACAAGTGTAAATGCATCTGGTTGTTGACGCCACATACGTCAGCAGGTTTTATTCCGGGTTAGAGATTGTAAACCCAAACTGGACCAATCAGCCGTGAGCAAAGTGACATGAATCTAATGCAATAAGCCACTCCCCCTGGATCTCTCGCTCCAAATTAAAGCAGTTTAGAATTCTAGAGACAATTGCCCGACTTTTGTGGCTACCTATTTATTATATTGTTTTATTATTTTATTATTACATTTATATTATATTAAAGTTATTTATAATTCATATAATATATTTATATAATTAATACATGCACTAGCAATTCATTTTGAACTTTAGATTAAAATGTTTGCATATAGATAAGCGTTAATATGTATAAATATGTTTTCATTTGAGCTCTTTGTGAAACTATGAATTATTAAATTCAGTTGATTCTTTAAAGTATTTTCTTTTCTCAAAGTTTTGCTGCAGCGGCAGTGTTTTTTCTGCCTTGTAAATGCATTTAAATTCATTATATTTTTAATAACGACATCTCTGGGGCATGTTTGGGATTTTTTACAGAATTAGGCAAGCCTAAATTTAAAAGTATGGAGACAGATCAGCCTCAAAAATAACACATTTGCAAAACAAAATTCATAAATGCACAGCACAATTTACATTTACAAAATCCGATTCGTAAATTCAAAACACAATTCATAAATACACAAGTAAAAGCATAAATATTTCCCCAAATGCTCACACAATTGCATCTTACCTAAATAAATTTAAAATGTTTACACAAATATGTATATATAAATTTCTAAGAGAGTTGTAATTGATCGTAATTTTATGATCAACACAAATAAGTTTTTTGTTTTTTTTGAGTCAGTTATTTAAACCCAAACTATTCGAAGTCACTTACCTATTATTACCAATAAAATACGATTTTTACAATGTGTTACATTTGACAAAAGAATGTTCAAAAACTTTATCACCTTATCAACTTGACTCATTTCATGTAATATATAAGCAAAATGGCAGATTGAGGGAGCAGTCCTTGCATTTAATTTTACACAACGTTACTAAACTCCAAGAAGATAGCACCACTCTCCCATTGATTTGGCAGATGTGGATGAGGTCCTGGACTGAGTGGCCAGCTCAGACACAAGTCTCTTTCCAAATTCCTTTTGGCTGAGAAGACTTGTGGTTTGAGCTTCTGACAGATGCTGGTGGATAATAAAAAATGAAAAAAAAACTAAAAAACATTTTTTGGGGTTTTGTGCAAGACATTATAGTATCCAATTAGTGCATTGAAAGATCCACACCTCCCATATATTTATTATAGTCCTTCACTGCCGCTGGAATTGGGATCCGGCACCTTTCCCAAACACCTTTGGGATTCTTGACACGCCTCAAGACTGTATCATCATCATACACCTTGTGCATCGTCGAACACTTCGTAACCTCTTGTGTGTCGATCCACTGCATGAAGAGAAGCTATGGTTCCCATTTCAGTTCTGTGACTGAGATCATTTACTTTAATTCTGGGGAGGCCCTGGCGGTTGGTGCATATTGTGCCAAACGCCAGTGTCTTCATAGCCAGTAAGTCCAGAAAAAGCTGGGTTAGGTCCTTGTGGTTGAGGTCTTGCTTCATCCTCCTCTGCTGCATCCACTTCTGGATCAGGCAGTTTTGCCATTCTGCACATGTTGTGCAAGACAGCTGTGGCTTTGATGAAAAGAGCAACCTTCTCTGGGGAATATTGGAGGTAACCTCCACTAGTGTCATGGCATCTACATCTAAAATATATTAATGGCTTTTTCACTTTAGCCATTTTTAGTTGTCTGTTTACTTTAAATGATGTCTATATAAATAGTATTCTTCATTAAGTAAGTTCTTCATTTTCAATTATTAATAAATGTAATGCCATTGTTGGACAGCGCAATTGTAAGCGGTTTTTCCGTTAGCTTTCAAATAATTTTGAAGTTAGGACAGCTGTGAGATGTAGATGTTGGAGCCTTTCTAATTAGTTCAAAGAGATAGAAGACAATTCTATCATCATTTACTTACCCCTGTTATTTGAAACTTATTTGAGGAGATGTTAGGTAGAAAGTTAGACATAAAGAGCCATGAATAAAGTGTGACTAAATGTTTACTTCATCCCTTTAACATCACTAAATCATGTACTGAAAGATCTTACCAAGCATGATCAGCCTTGGAGTAGAAAGAAGTCAAGCCTGGTTTTTGCCAGGTTTGCCAGTTGTTGTGACCTACACACACACACACACAAACCACACAGTTTTTCTAAGTGTCAGTTATAGTAATCATTCTTTTAAGTGGGCCATCAACACCAGGACAGCTGCATCAGTAATGTTATTCGCATCTGGCACAGCAGCAGAAAGCGCAGTAACGTTATTATCTACACAGATTTCTCAAAATCACATTTATGCTTCCTACTAAGGTGTGCTGAAAATGACTACTTCACTCTAC